ATCTTTGAGTGTGTTCGGTTGTGTAGGGAAGGCAAATTAAGGAAAATGAGAAAAGGTCGAAAAGAGAACTCAAACAAAGTACAGTCTCATTAATTTTATTTAAATTGCTTGTCTCGGTCATTTTAACCTAAACATGCTTCTTGAGCAGTTCACTGTAATTTCGTTTTCAATAAAAGATCGTTATCTTTTGTTACATTTACGATAATTATAGACTGCGTCATGTTTCAATCTTTCCCCAATTGAGCCTGTGGCTGTAGCGAGTCACAACCACATTGCAGGTAAACAGTGTTCAAGCAAGTTCAAGTTAAAACATCTACAGATTTGGTCGAGCCATAACAGCCTACACATAGCTGTAATCACCCTGGTCTGCAAATGTATGGCATGAATTGTGTCACGTGATATCATAGGTTCTACATGAAATTATGCAATGGTTTCTTGAACGACTGAAAACGATTAAAAATGATATCGAAAGAATGAGGCATCAAAATTCAATACATTGCAAGGGCTTTCTTGAGATACTTGAAATTATGACAAATGCAAGCTGAATGGAGAAAGGTAATTTCTTTGTGAAAGATGAAATGTTCAACATGCCACGAATGTGGGACAAAGAAAGATCTGAGCTCCAGAAGGGATTCAAGCGTATGACCTGAGTCTGACCTCCCAGATGCCAGTCAGGTGCTCAAACCACTGAGCTATATTGAGAATCGGGTGCACTCGGCCATTTACTAGGTTCTAATATGCAGCTATCATCCTGCATACTGCTAGGATCAGCAATATTGAAAAAGTCTTTTGGATGTTGAAGACATTCAAAGAAGATCTGTCTGGCTTTGCATTATTTACTGTGACATGTCAACTCTAGAGACACGCACCTCCCCTCCCTCCCTCCCACAATCTTTGCCCCGGTATGATGGGTATGGCTACCAGCAGATTAAAACATGGACAAAGATTTAAAATGCCAAGTTACCAAGTCAATAACAAGCATGTCAAGAATTACCACGGTACTAACACAATTGCAACACCGTTGTCGATGGAGTTGAGGTGTGATCATTTTGTTGAATTCCATGCAATGATACTGTGATCAAAAAATGCAATGGCGTGTGTTCAGATGAATCCAACATCAAATGACCCTTGAGGAGCTTCCACGTCCAAAATATCACCAACAAAACCCGTTTGTTGTTGGTCGTCATCTGGTTCAGTCACCTCATTATCTTCTCTACACTCTGGTTCTTTTCCTGGTTCCAGATGTCTTTTCTTTCCTATCAATGAGCAACATATGGCCTTAAATATTATATGGGAATTGGCATTTACCAGTGAAGTCTTGAGAGACTAGTTAGCTTTGGAACAAAGACAGTACATTACTTATTGTTACCCACAATCCTTAAGCATGGTCATGGTTATCTATTTCCTCGAAAACCAACCATTTTGATATTTCTTACACATTTGGCTAGGAGGAGTTTTCTCTGATCCTCAAATCAATCCAACACATTTACAGTGAAAATAATCTCCCATTCACAGAGAAAATAAATATTCTCGATTAAGTGTACAAATGGTAAAGCTAGATGGCAAAAATTGAAGTTTTGTGCGGTAAACATCACTATTAACCTCTACATGATCTCCTACAACAAACTTTATAACTACATACACTCCAGAACAAGGATAAAATGTTAACAGCCTCTCTACTTTCTCAGATCAAGGAACTTAATAAAGCGGCACAAAAAAAAAGAAAAAAATGGAGGCGAGTGCAAATGGGGAGGGAGAAGGAGAGGGTGGAGGGGATGGATAAGAAAAATGTCATCCTATCTTTCCTCTGTCTCACACCTCCAGTGTCTTCACCATATGCACTCCCTTTGACTGAGGTTCTTTTGTATACAACTTTTGCACGGAGAAAATAGCGGTCGTGAATGGCATAAAAGTGTCCCTGACATGGCTAGTTTTCAGTAAAAACCTTAGCACTAGTTACGCAACATTTCTTTTCATTCCTATAGTGTAGTTAGAAATTCCTTTCTTGAATACTAGATAAGTTAAGAATCACAACAACGTTTTACCCTTCGGCTAAAGATATCACGACCAGAAATTTGGGTATGCAGACTTTGACCAATTAGTGCTGTGATTGGTTGATTTTTGCTGAGCAAATTTGGTTAAAAAGCTGAATGGGCTTGTTGGTATGACAAAAGCATCACAGAATGGACATGATCAGGAAAAAGCACAGTGAAGCTGTAACAAACTGGGCATGATCACGCAAATAGCACAGTCTGGAAACAGTAATCTGAGATGAGTGGCTGAAACACCTGCTGCATCTACGAAATGGCTTCACAAAACCTAGTTAGGTGACATCAATGACTTTGTAACAGCTGTTGAGATTCATGCAACGATGTCTGTCCTATGATTTTCTACCATAAGAAGTGAGTACCTTTGTCTTTTTCCGCAGGTGGTATGCCACACAGAACTTGGTAGTGTGTCTTGTCAAACTTACTGATCTGTACTCGAGTTGATACTTTAGCTTTCCAGCCACAGAATACAATTCTACAACCAATGGTATCTTCTGGAGTACTAGGAAAGAAGTATAAAGTACTGTCAGTGGAAAGAAACATAGTAGTGTCATATATGAGATTAAGGCAGGTTTTGTTCTCACTGGATGAGTCAAATTAGTCACGCAATTTAGCATTATCTGTCATGGAGTTATGATTATGTGGTTAAAAAACTTGGCTTTTCCTATTAGTATAACAAATAAGAATGTTAACAGAACTTTAAAATTAGCTGGTGATTAGGTAAAAACTTTTCCTCTGGGGTTACTAAGTCGAAATCCTCATCAGCCATATTTGCATAACTGAATCACCACAGTTGGTGACTTGGTTGATCAGCGCGTTTGATCGTCAGTACGTGAATACAGTCCAGCATTGCTAATACAGCCACTTCTCTAGATCAACAAGATTATGAATTGGATGCGGCAATTCTTAAAGTTTGGAAGTGCAAAAAATTATCCTAGGTAAAAGTGCGAGGGTGGTGAACCCTTCAAGTCTCTTTCTGATAGTGATGCCCTCCTCTCAACTAAAAAAGCTCGTTTGATACTAGCAGAAAAGTCTTTGTCTCCTCCATTGTTGAAATCAGTCTAAGCAATTAAGCGTCAAATGTCAAGGACGTCCACGAACTTCCTTTTAAAGTCACCGTTGAAAACGAATTGAGAAGCTTTCAGTTTAAAATTACACATAACGAAATCAAATAAAAAATTTTAATTTAAAATAAAATAATAAAATCTCCCTCTATATAAAATGAACATAAAAGAAACAACAATGCGAACACTGCCTCTTCCAAAATGAAACACTTGTTCATATGTCTCTCGAACGCCCTTTAGTTGAAACCTTTTGGAGAGACGTATAACGTGGTGGAATAAGAAGCGTTTTGACAATATTAATCCTAATTACACTGAAATCCTTTATGGCTACAAGCCTGAAACTAATTAAGAGCTTTTACGCGTTAAATCATTATCTTCTTATTGCTAAATATCACACATATCTCGCAGAAAATCAGTCAGCGACTCCAATCTTAAAAGTCTTTCCTGCCTTACTGGATACGAAGCTCAGTAGACCACTCTCTGCATTTGCGACGCGTGAAGTTTTTTCCTTTTCTTTGTATATAGTCAAGCCTGTTACAATGTTCCAATAATGAAAGCTACGGTGCCGCGTTTCTTACTTTCTTCATGTTGTATTTTTTTTCCTTCTGTGTAGTGTATCCTAAAAGCGCTAGCGATATATAATGGTAATCCTGTAATCAGCATGAGTTTTTAGTGCTAGTTGTGTGTGTGCTCCAAAGAGGGCGAGCGTTGCGTGACATCCCTAAAAACGGCCGCGGAGGAGACTAGTGGTGTGCTTGTAAATTATTTTTTGGTTTGTGCAGTGTACTATCAAGTGTTGAACTAGCCTTAATTTTGCAAGTAAGTACGGTAAATGATAGAACAAAATGGATGGATGGATCATGAACAGATGGGTTAAAACCTAGCGATAAAGGTTGGGTTAGTTGTCTTTACATTCTTTGCTGTATCCTATTTGTTAGGTTGTGCTGTCAGATAAGACATGAGATTGTACTCGTAAGACACCAGGGGGCACGTCTCACTGATATTTACACCATCATTTTGGTCACACAAAACAAATATTATTGCAAAAAGAGAGTTGAATATCTCTACAATAGTCCCCTAGGCAACATAATTCATTGGCCATTGTAGAAAGGTTTCTGTTGTAAGGAAGTTTCAGTAATAGTAAAGCATGCTATTGATCAACTAGTCAGGATGAAATATTCTGTCAATCATTACACTTGAGCCTTGGCTGGCTCTTGTTTCGCTGTACTGTAATGGCTGAACAGGGCACTGCAACTCTGGACACAAGAAATAACAGACTTGTTTCAACTTGAACATTCAACCTTGTGATCAGACCGGAATGAAAGAGCAATGTATTCATTTCCACACTGTCTGCAATGCCACATGACTAGTGCTTAATCTTCAAGTTTAATGCACTTTGTTTAGTTATAAAACGACAAGAAAAACAGCTCTAAAAGAAGAGGAAACTAACCAACCTGTATGGTCCATTGGGTTCATAAATGTACACAATACATCCTTGTTCTATAAAGAAACAACAAAGATGATAAGTATTAACACTGGATAGTTTTTATACTCTGCATCGTCTGGGGATATAGCCTGAATTATTTATAAGTCTTCAAAGAAGTTAACTGTAACAGCGACAGTGACAGCGACAGTGACAGCAACAGCGACAGCAACAGTAACAGCAAACAGTGACAGTAATTTTTATTGATGTATAATAAGTTTGTAAGCTTTAGTAGCTCGCAGCTAGCAAAACTATTCTGGGAGAGCTACTGTTACTTTAAGAGTATTATATAGTTTAAAAGAGAGAATAAGAAAAATAAAGAAATTAAAAAAATTTGAGTAAATAAACAAAATTAAACCAAAATATTATACATAACACATAATGTAAAAAGTTATTTTCTCCAAAGTCACCACACTGGACAAAAAAGAATTATAAATCAGAGTCTGGAATTGTTACCAACCAATGAAACAGCACTGCTGCAGTGCAGAATTTAAGGGTGAACAAAATCAAATACTTCTAATACAGCAACTAATACTTGAAATAAAGGTTTTGAGAAGTATCTTCATGATCAGCCAGGTAAGGCTGTGTTAAGTTTAAGAGTAGCCTGATGCAAACATGAAATCATAAGGGTTCCATACAAACATGAAGCTCTTAAGTATTTTTTTCTGGGGGGGAGGGGTGCAAACCTCTGTCAACTTAGCATTGAACAACACACCGCAAGTGGGTCAAAAAAATTTGTGAGTAGTTCATTATGCTCTTATAAACCAAGTGGCATCAGAAAAGAAAGAATTTCTAAAGAGTATAATTTTCCACATTGTATTCTCATGCAAACATTCCCTTTCTCTAGGAACACCAATATGGATATCTGAACAAAATTAAATTGGTTTTTTATCTTCCTGTGAATTGTTTGCTGCCTTTCAACTTCACTCAATCACTTTTGTTGTACATTTACGGCCATTTTCAATTGATCATTGATTTTTGTATCTAACTCTAATTTGTGTATATTTTACAGAAATGTGTCATATTTTGACAGGCAAAATGATCCAAGTATTTTAGCCACCTGAGAAAATTAGGGATCCTGGCTTGCATGCAAGGCATGCCTTACTGGCTTGCATATTAGCAACATGCAATAGAAGCACTCTCTACTCATTGTTACAATTACTAGTCAAACATAGTCATGTTTATAAACCCTTAGACACCCCATCATTTGTCTTTCCTTGTATCCAAAACACTTGATACAATTTGCAGCACTGAATTGGAATCATAGTAGGACATGTAGCGCATATTCAGTAGACTTTTACAGAAACAGCATACACTGATAAAGTGTATCCACAGCAGCAAGTAGTAAAGTTAAGCCTGCATATGAGCCAAGTGGCTCATCAGGCCGGATCTTATCCCAGTTTCAGTAGCATGGAGCAACTAGGAGTATTTCTACTCCCCCCTGGATGGTATGCTTATCCATTGCAGGGTTACCCCCAGTATTAAGTTTGCCGGTACCCATTTATACACCTGGGTGGAGAGAGGCACTGTGAAATTAGAAGTGTCTTGCCCAAGAACACAATGCAATGTCTCCGGCCAGGGCTCAAACCCGGACTGCTCACTTCAGAGTCAAGTGCACTAACCATGAGACCATCACCCCTCCCACACAGCAGCAAGTGATAACAGAGAAATACCAGTGTTTTATCTAGACATTAGAGGATCAAACCTTCAATATTATTCAACTGCTCCTGCGTTCCAGTTGAAAATTCATTACAAAAAGGCCTGTCACTTGTCAACAGGATCACAACATCCTTCTGAGTAATTATCACTTTACGCTTGCTTATGAATGGTAGCATTGCTTCAATACCCTGTCAAATTAAAAGAAAATAAAAACATTCGGAGATAAACATCATTGGAATAACACAAGTACATGGCAATATACATTGGTATCATGTAAATAATGTTAAGTGCTATGTACAAGCACATAATCCACATGATACCAATGTATGGCATAATGTCATTGACAAGTGCTTCACATAGCACTTACCGGTAAACATACATAACAAGGTATGTTACCATGTACTTGCTAAAAATAAACGAAACATAACCACCCCAGTGATTTCAGATTAACTATGTATACATGCCATCACATTTGCTTAGCAATTCTTTGAAGACATGGTCACTGCCAAAATTGAATTTCACCACATTTGCAAGCAAAATTAATTTATTCACGAATGGAGAAAGGCACTGTGGGAAAAAGTGAATCTTCCCAAACTACCCCAGTCCACCCTGGTCAGGGTTTGAACCCAGACAAACCATTCAAAGCAACTATCACCTTCCACTCACCCCCTCCCCCATCTCCACCTCCCACAGTTGTAGTTGGATAATGATTTCTGTTGCAAGAAAATTTTCTTTCTTAAATATACTGAATAAAAGCTACTATAACAATCTGTTTGCATACCTCCTGCATCAGCCTGAAATTGCATCCCACATTGTCAGCCTCTGCACGTGCAATGACCTTCATCCCTGTGTTTATAACCTGTCAATACAGTGATAATCATATCCAATCCTGATGACTTATTGTTTCTTTATGCATTTGACATGCGTTTTATTGAACATGTCTATTGTTTCAAACTTTTCAGGCTCCTAATGATCAAATTAACTTAATTAAAATCTTATTACAATCTCAGTATCCATAGAGCCAAAGATAAATTGTGTCTACATGAGCCTGCCAACCTAAGACTCCTACTGACACATGACAGTTCAAGGTAGTGATAACGATGGCTATATAAGGTTACAACTGAATTTTGGTAGAATGGCTTGTGTTGTAATTTGTAAAAGTGAATTTCCATGGCCAAGTGTAATGCAACAAACCTTATGATTGTCATCAATCAATTTCATGACATCTTTCACTGTTTTTGACACAAGATAGATGTTCCTTTTCTTTCCACCAACAGATCTCACCAGAAGTTGATCAGCAGGAAAACTGTCATCAATTCCATAGAATTTCCTTTGAAAGTGATAAAATGAGTAATGTTGATTTCAGAAGCAATGTGCCAACCAGATAATTGGTTGCTTTTTGTGTGGTGAGAAAAACCTAATTAACTTAATTACTACAAAGTGCTCACTCTGGTGTATCATACTGTCCAATTCTGTACAATGTATTTTTATTGCACTCACTTTATTTCAGGCCAATGTTCATCGTCTTCCTTAAGAAAAACAAATGGGTCCTCTTTAAAACCTTTCATTTCGACTTTAGCTTTTTTCCTTGGAGGTTGAATGTTAACCCTACAATAACAGTCAAATAAATCACAGTTAAGTAACTACCAATGAAATTAAACATGCAACATGACAATTAAAAATTATTACAACCTCCACAGTAAAATTGTAAGTGCAATTGGGACAAAAACCACAACAAATCCCAAGTTGCATTGTAAATAGACTTAATATCATTTGTGAGTTCTTTCATCTTTATTATCCCATCAAGAAATATTACAATATAAAAGCTTCTGACAAAAAAGAATAATAGCAGGTTTACCTGCAGGTATATACATCTAGAAGCCCGTCACAGGGTTCCCATTAATTTAGGCATTAGAGAGCTTGTTTCATGAAGAAAACAGCTGACACCAATTCAAGTGCCAAAAGGACAAGCCTCTAGGGAGGTCTAGGGGCATGCTCACTCAGAAAACTTTGAAATTGACAGGCTCTGAAATGCAATTTTACACATTCTATTCCAAGGACCTATTTCTTAAAAAAAAATCAATTTTGAAAAAGGTCAAACTGTTACAAACATTAAGAGATTACAAATATATTTTTTTCAATTTTTATCCTTCATTGCTAGGGTAACTGACAACGTATACCACACCCTGACCACATGCTCTCTCTCTAGCTACATCCTTGACAGACCTGAGACAAGGACAATCAAGGTTCAGTCATGTTCCAAAAAAACCCTGTGTTTCCCATATATTACTCTTTACAACTTACACACATATTATTTCATGAAAAGTAGGTGGCTCTCACCGATAAACCAATTCAATACTGTTCAGTGGGCTAAATAGCATATTTTGAGTTCGAAATTGATCAAAGTACTAGACGAATTCTTGAATGAATTAAAGCTCCATTTTTTTAAAACACAAACATCGGAAAGCCAAAGCTACCTTTTGGTAGTTTTTTTTTGGATATAAATGCATGTGTTAATAAGAAAAAACTAAATAAATGAAAATTAAAAGAAAACAACTCCGAGAGAATTGAGGCGACAACCTCCTGCACGTGGAGCAAACACCGTCTCCACTGAACAACATCTACACCTGTTATTATGGTGTAAAAAGTATTATTAATAAAGGTTTGTACAGAAACACTGGGTGATTAGAACGTCAGGCTCAAGTGAGTTCCAAGCATGAATGATTAACCAAGTTGTATGAGTTGCTGAGCTGGCTGGTACGGTTTCAACTGTTCCTGCAAATAAGTTGTTGCTGAGCTTATCCAAGTGAAGGTGACACAATGTACTTGCCAAGTGAATTGTTTGGATGGAAATGTTCAACATTCGTGGATCTGTTATACTCATATAAAACCAGACTTTTAACTCTTTTAATGGATCTTTAAACAATGTCACTCTTTTTCAATATTTTCATTCAAACGAAAAACAGGTCTCACTGCTTGATTTAACATTATAGCAAATTTAGTAAATATGTGACATTAAAATAAGAATCTGCTGTAAACTCATGAAATAAGGGACCCCAATGTTGAAATTGTTTAAAAATAAATGTATGCCAGGGGCACTTGCCCTTGGTATTACAGTTTTCCACACTATTTTGAAAACTGCTTTACCAGACCAACTATAGTGAAAAGACGAATAAATATTGTAGACTCATGGACAGACTAGTAAAACAATTGAGCTGCTGCAACAACTTACAGCTGCAGCGGTTCATCTGTTTTATCCCCAATGGTGTTATTATCCTCTGCACTCTGACTTGGTGATGAACCACTCTGCTGTTGGCCTGCACGGAACTTGGTAGCTTCATCATCTTCATCATTGTGCTCACTGTCGTATACTGTATCTAGTTCATCACACTCATCATCATCCACATGTGCACTGCTTGTGATCACTGGATTGCTGGTGCCCTCTTCGTATGTTGCATTTCCTTTTGAATTTGCTGCAGCAGATGCATCAACTGCTTTGCTTTCTTCCTCTAATTTGCACTGATTATTGTCCATTTCAGTATTCTCACCTCCTGTCATAAAGCTGACCTCTGTGTCTTGTTTTTCAAACTTGTCGACTTTTCTCCGCTGTTAAATGCAATCGGTTAGTGAGTTAATGTAATTTTGTTAAGTATTACACTAGGCTGCACTGCACTGCACTACAACACAATAAAATAAAATATACTACACTACACTATAAAAAGATCTCATTCTCCTTCTTTCAATAACCTGTTCTGTTCACAGCTAACCTGCATTGCAGACATAAACAGGGAAAAAAAATTTAATTTCAGACAAACTTACAAAAAATACTTGATTCTGATTGGCTAGAGGGAGAGCAGTTTTCAAGTAACACCAATAGTGCAAATTTGAAACACAATTGCTAATTTGAAACACCAGTGCAATAACAATGAGGATTTCTGACAGTCATAGGTTCGATTGTACTCTAGGCCCAAATACTGAGTGGAAAATGCTGAAGGGAATTTCCAAGAGTCTAAATTGCAAACTTTCCTGAGGGACCACGCCCCCAGACCCCTGTGAGAAGCTATCGACTTCAGTGCTTGAAAAGTAGCCTACCACTTACTTTAAAATTTGTGACATCTACTTCAAAATTCGTTGACAGCCCTCTCAGAACTCACTTATTATTATTGTTTAGTTTTTAGGGGGGAAATATGGCTAGAACAGACCACTTCTTTCAAACTTTGATTGATTTTTTTTCTCCTGATGTTTGCCTTCATATTGTCAGTTTTTTTTTAAATAAACAAAGGTGTTACGATGTAGCTCTGTTGCAATCGAACTAGGTCAAATTCGCCGACACAACTCCTCCGAGACAAAATTCCAACAAGCAACATAAGAACCTTGCAAAATACTGACATAGCCGCTTGCGAAATTCAGACAGGGGACATGGGTCCCCCCCCTAACAGGGCCTCAAAACATATCTTGCTGATGTACAGGAAGACTGTTTGATAGCCTGTTTAAAAGAAAACATCTGAGAGAGCACCTGTGTGTTGCAATTGATAATCACAATCTTTACAAAAATTATCCATGTGTTAAAACCATTTCAGTATCACAACATCTAGCAAGCAGAGACAAGCAGAGACAATAAAGGAACTTGAATGATCTTTCTGTGGGACAACAATTATGACCTTTAAAGTTAAAAAAAAAAAGACTACTCACGGAATAACTTTGTCGCTAATAAATTTGTTGATCTCACAAGCTTTTAAATGCCAAAATTTTAAATCTAAATTTCAGTCACAGAGTGTAACAAATTGTCATTGTGATTGTTATTATAGCCACCTCTAGAGGGATTTTGTCAGCATGACTGATAGAATACAACATGCTGATTGTGAGTTATTAATAAAGTGCAAACAATAAATGAACCAATCAATATTTCAAAACATTCAAGAAAAAATCATGTGGCCTTGAATACGTTTATCAACGGTAACAAACACATGTTCTCTCCAATTGTTTCTTTGTGGGAGAATACCTGTCACAAAGGTTAACTGTTTGAATATTTTATCAACAAAGAGTAACTACTATGAAATAAGTAACTATTAAACCACAAAATTTCATAACTGAAGACCTCAATATTTATGTCAATAAATGTTCTTCTTTTCATAATTTTTGCAACAGCAGTCATTACCATATAACGACATCAGTATCCTACCTGCAAGTCTGAAACACTTTCCCATGGCAAGAGTCTTGGGTTATCACTGCATCTTTTCCCATTTTCCCAAGGTGCTGGACACTTCTTTTCAAGAACAGCAATAAAAAATCCACCAGTATCCTGCTGATGGGGATATATTCTCATACTGCAGAGTAAAAAGTCATCTCTGTGAGTTCAAATCATTGACCTGATCAAACCCAACACTTTTACAAATTTAATGTTTAATTAACCCAACTATAACAAAACCAAGAGACAATATAACACATATTTCCACATATGTTCACAAAAGGTTGGTGTTCTCTTAGGCTTACCCTACCCAGAGAGCTGTGGTAACAGGAATACTCTTCAGTCTAGCACAAGTGATTGATCCATACTACATTTGTTGAGAAAAATTTAATGCGTTCTTATTCATGTGCACAGATGAATATATCAGGGATCAGCCCACACAGCTACATGGGAATTTGTGTGTGTATGCACTGTTGCTGGTCATGGTCAGAGCCACCAATCAGCTTCACAAGTACCACAAGATACCAAGTCATGCCATGAGGTCAGATATAAAACAAAAAGGTCTTTGCCAAAATAATATTGCAGTTTATAATAGCTTGTTCCTTGTTTCTGCTGCTTGACCCTTTTTAAAAGGGCAAGAAATTTTGTATTTTGTTATGCCTGAACTGTCTTAAGAATTCATCAGCCTGTATTTTATTCACTGGTTCTTTCTTAAACGTAGTTAATAGATTTGATGGAAAGTGTACTGATCACCCTCAGCAACAATGAGAAGTAAAAATTGAAAAGCACTAATCAGTCTACAGGAGTTATGACTGCACAGGACTATTAAAATTTACCAGTGTCTAAAAAGTGTGCATGGATAGCTGTGTCAAGCAATACTGACAATACTTAAAACATTCACAAGAATAAACATTATAGAAAGTTTTCTGCAACAGTCAATTACAAAAATCTGTTTCGGTGCATTAGTAATTAGGTACCATTAAAATAAATAAATAAATAAATAAATAAATAAATAAATAAAAAATGAATAAAAATAAAAGAGGATAGTTCACAAAAAATTAAATTATTTCTTGTTTATTTTAATAAAGCTTCAAAGAAAATGCTTAGAGCACAGTTCATGGAGAATGATGTTCTAGGCCCCCACTGGGTCGTCACTGTTTACATTATGTGTAATAATTGAATGTAACGCAACAGATCCTTTTGTCTCTCTTGTCTCCAAAGAACAATGTACACTAAGCCGTTCATGAATATATGTCGTAAAATAATTATTGTCTACCTGTTGTACACTTATATTTGATACATTTTGTATGATTTTGTACAGTTATTGTTCTCATTTATTATATTAAGTGATTGAAGAATAACACTCTAGGAATGGTAATATTAACAGAAAATTACTGATCCACAGAAAAATATAGCAAATATAATTTCCAAGGAAAAAATAAGACCAATTTATGAATAACTAAAACAACTTATTTGATCACCCTCATGAAATTTAGAGATAAAATTAATCATAAATTGCTTTAAATATATATTCTTATTTTTAGTTTCTCCCTATTTTACTCTTCTATTTGATTCATGTAATTCCAGGTTTCTCGATCCGTTATCCTTGATTTTCCATAATCCCATTCCCAATTTTTCCAAACGTCACGTGACCATCTGTGCGTAGCGTTGCGTGACGAGAAGCGTTTCATACCCTTCGAGGACGCCCTTCATTGCAATAATAGAGTTTTCTTGACGGATCACTGAAGCACAAAATGATGAAGCTGTCATTTCCACGACTCCATGTCGATACTTCGGCCACTAAAGTCCTTATCGATTGGTACTGTCAACGACTGGGAATGAATGTTCTGAAAACAATGCACAACGATACAGAGCTAATACATTGGCTCGGTTATGAAAATATGCCGAGCTCTTCATTTGTAGAGTTTCGGTCTGACATACACCAAGCTAATCCGCCCAAGTCTTACCTACATCAGCCATCCTCGGACGTTTACTGGAAAATAGGATTGTCTTTGATCGATGTGGACACCGCTCGTTCACAGCTTGTGAGGCAAGGTGTAGATGTTACTTCACCGAAGCAGTTCCGTGACATTGGTTACATGTGTCACTTGAAGGATCCATTTGGTTACTCCATAGAATTATTACAGCACGATTTCCAGTCCAACTTCCGCTCGGAGCGAATACAAAGCTCACTACAACCAAACCTGGCACTTGGTCAGCAAACACATCTGGGGCAAATCACTCTTCGGGTCTCGAACATTGAAAAATCCCTCAGGTTTTACCAGTCTGCACTGGGTATGAAGCTTCTTTCACGACAGACCATTCCAGACATGTTTGACCTATACTTTTTGGCTTGTACAGACGAGAAGCCACCTTCAGTTGACTTGAATGCGGTGGAAATTCGGGAGTGGCTCTGGAGAAGACCGTACACAACACTTGAGCTGCAACATTGGCCGCAGGAAGATCGTAAATACACCTCTGCAGATTTGGACCAAGAAAGCGGATTTAGCGCGCTTGCGTTCACAGTCGATGCAAAACGTTTTGAAGGGCTAAAAATAAACCTTAATGTGCAAGACGTAAGCCAAAAATACCCGGAATACGGCACCCGTGTACTGCAATGCAAGGATCCTGATGAAACAAGCGTCCTGTTCATTCAAAAATGACACATTCTTGAAGAACATCAAGTGTTAATATTTTTAAGTCTGGAGTGAATAATTACTAGTCTGTGTGTTTCTCCATTAACAATTTGTTTATACACAAGTACGTATATATTTTTTGGGATGCATAATGTAAATTTAGTTATCAGGTGAAGTCTTGACTATTTTACAGGTCATCCTCGTGGCTTTTTTCTTGTGTTCTCTAAGATAATATGACTTCAGGCGCAGTGTTTATTCAAGGCGGGTTTTCAAGTTTACGTGAGAGGAAAAAATATGTGTTATGTGTAAAAGGAATAAAAGATAATGAATCTGAACATCTGTAGATGTCATTCACATAAATAAAAAAAAACTATGGCTGGGGAAAAATTATTAGCCCTTGGGAACTCTCCCCCTGGGGAGACTGCTTATTGGAAACTTTGAATAAAACCCCTAAGAGACCAACCTGGGCACAGCAAAAGCATTATTTGACCCCTAAATGAAAGACAGCATTTGTTTCTCATTAATTTGAGTGCAACCCCATGACAGATAAAAATAGTGGCATTTTGTCCTGAACATCCTAAGTGAGTCCAAAATCTGTGATTTGCACCTCTAAATGAGACAAGACCATCCCTGGCCTTTTCACAAGGAAGTACCCCCCCCCCCTGGGGCAACTTCACATGGAATTTGTTCTTCGTTTGATGTACTATCACGAAATCTGACCATTTTAACAAAATTAAAAAGTTTGTTTTCTCTGTTAATTTCACTGCATTCATTGACACTGCTGTAAGATGGGCGATATACAGTACCAATCACTAGTTGAACTCTTTTCTACTGTTAGATCATTGGGTTGTTAAATGCAAACATTTCAATGTACATACCTACCACCAAGTTTACTCTTACAATTTGCTGTAACATATATTTGCACAGTTATCTGTTCATGGATGGGGTGCGGCCAAGTGGTTTAGGGTGCTGGATTTGAAATCTGGAGTCCCTGGTTCAAATCCTCCACCCTACCACTATATCGATGTGTTTCTGGTAGTCCCAAGTTCAACTCCTTAACTGTGTTGTGTAAATAGCCAACTGGTCAGCCTACAACCAGTTGGTATTCTTAATTGTTTTACATTGTATTTGAAATATTTGTTTCTTTTTTTACTTACAGTGTCCCCAATTAGCGCAACAGTGCTAAATACATTTGACACTTAAGGATGTTCATGTTACTGTGCATCCTTTCTGCTCACGAAATTTCTGTAATTTCTGAAAAAAATTTTTGATAAAGGCTAAATATTGGCGGAGAAATGGCGGTTTTACCTTTTCGCTGGAAGTAAAAGTTCACCTCTTGATTGACAGCCCTATGGCGTGTATGCAATCAACCGAGACTATTTTCGCAGTATGGATGTCACAAATTGACTGCTCAGTTGATCAGCATTGTTGTTAACATTTTTGGTATTAGGTGTAACTCTGTTAAGTTATAAGTAAACATANTTACCAGTATACATGCCAATAATCAAAAAGTTATTTTTGAATGCAGTCAACAAGTAGATTAATTCATTATGTTTGTTTGTCATACTTGTCACATTTCACATTTCAACTTTGATTCCTTCACTGCATATCAAATTGTTAAAACAGAGGGGGTGGGCGCGTGTGTATGTTTTAAGGAGACCCCAAAAACTAGTTTGAAAAAATTAACCTAGGTTGAAAACAAATTAATTTAGGTTAAAATCATTCTGACCTCAAAATACATTTTAAACTACATATATCTAATCATTAAGTTATGCATACCATCTTTCTACATGTAATCTGTTCACAACCTCTTCTGGTGGAGCCAGCATTTCTGGTTTGAAGTTTTTTGAAAAGTATTCAGTCCCAGGATCACAATTATCAACAATTTTCATATCTCTTGTCATTACCTGCAAAACCAAACATTAATATTATTATTTTTAACAAATATGCAAAAATTTATTTACATGGAGCTCACTCTTGGTAAGCTAATTTGCCAATAACTGGTATGTTATAGCCAAAGCCCCCCATAGTACAGCAGACTTTTTTTCTGATCTTATAGCGTTAAAGTCAGTAGAGTGAGACTGACCCCATCAAGGTCAAAAGAATGTTTCTTTGCCTTAAGGGGTTGGAATTCATTTCAAGGGCTATTAATAATGTTCAGAAGGAATTTTACAAGTTATTAATAACCGAAGAATCAATTCCCTAATTTACAGCTTGTCTTGCAGCTCAGTTGACTTAGAAGATCAATGTCGATCTAACCTTAGGTGGTGGGCTCACATCCTACTGATATCACTCCTTAATACAAGCATTTGACTTAAGGTGATTAACAACAGTTTCCAGGATTTTTTCAGCACTTTTACTTTGACTGATCAATACTACCCTTCCTCTTCAGGTTACAATACTACAATAGGCCATTTGCAACAGCTGGTCATGTGACGTGGTTTTCAAGAATTTAATGATTTATTCACTGGAAATGCATAATGTTATCAGAAATAAATTTACAAATAAGCTTACATGCAAATTTTCAGGTTTATATCGTATAAGAGGGAATTCCTATGGGCCTTAGAAATTAAAAGGATTTGTATGGGAAGACGATGCTTTGCCAGTCATGCTGCAGTTGTTTTCCACTTCCTTTCACTATGATTAACAATGGGAAATGTTTCTGGAGGGCAAAGCTTCCTCGCTACAATACTAAACCTTCTTATTTTTACAATATTCAAATTCTTGTTGAATCTCAACCTCGCACTGCATTGGTCTGGAAATTGGTGTTCTGACTATTTAGAACAAGTTCTTTCCAGTTCAGTCTGAAATTCACATAGTTGTAGCAAAAGTTAAGAAATTATTGGTCACTTGACCAACTGCTGCTCACAATGGTTTCCAGCATTTATCAGAACTTCTTCTTTGATGACTCAATACTACCACTCTCTTTAAGTTGATGCCATATTAACTGGCAATATATAGATTTAGCCAAGCCCAAAAGCAGAGTTCCTGATTACAATAAGTTAACAATTATCTTGAGCCTGTGATCCAATCAAAAACTTGTACATGGGCAGTAGCCAACTTCAAAAAAAACACAGGACCACAATGGGCTCTAAAAACATGAGCCTGATGGTCACATGTTACTGGTCAGTGGATACCTTGTTTTGACAGGTGTCAATTGAACATAACATGGATGCTCAATATCACAGATGTACGCTGTAAACCCGCCCTCCTGATCTTTCAGGGAAAAACCCCATGAATGAGGTTGTTGCAGAGTGTGACATTTTACATTGATTTACATGAAGTGGCATACAGACGGATAGATGGACAATCACATGACAACCAAAATCTTTTAGTGTGATGAGTTACCAAATTTTCTAAGCAACGGGCCTCTGCTCACGACCAGGAGCTGTGCTACCAAACAAATGCCCAATCATTGGTGAACAAATTATGGCTGTTTTATGGCTTTTTTTCTTGCAGCCAGGGATGTACACTAGAGAAGTAAGAACTGTCACTAACACGAAATAGCTCAATGTGTCTTTGGTTTGTAGTTGAAATTATGCCACTATACCCAAACCAGCTGCTGTAATTCATAGTTCATTCCCCTGAAGAATAATCTATACTGTATAGGGCAAGGGTGCCTGCTGGTCACAGCAGGTCCACAGGTGCAAAAAGATTTTATTAATTACCTTCCAAGTCTTTAAGCCTGGGGATCTCTTCAAGTTTGGAAGATGTGATGAGATATCAACAAGTTCTACTGCACCTAAAACACACAACAATATATCCTCAATCTCGATCCTTAATCCTCAATTATACAGGACCATATACAAAAGTCAGCACATTTTGTTGAACACTAAGGTCAAATAGAGCTCTACAGACCTAAAGCCATATTTTAGGATCTACATCTAAGGATAGTAATGTGGGCTTACGTCCAAAATTCTGTTTTCTTTCCTGATATTTTTACTGTTTTAACCTTAAAACTATTAATATCTCAATCTTGAATGTAAAAATGGCAAACAAAAACAGCTTTTCAGGACTGACAACTACCAGGACTTTTGAGAAATGGGCTGTTCAAAGGGTAGAAAATACCACCGACATTAATCACTATGCAGTTGATAAATATTAAAAGAATATAATTCATATATATTGCTGCACAGATTTTCCATTTAATATTGACTAAAATCACATATTAATTTTCCTAATGAAGTATTATTTACACTATAATGATATTACATGCTCTGTATCAGGTCTGGGAAGGTCTAAAAATGCACATACATACAAACATACATACATACTTTATTTGCAACTCCCCAAAGGGGCTTTTCAGTTACAAAAGGAATAAAAAAGATAAAAATATGTCAATTAAAATGAATAAACAAAATGGGAAAGGAGTCTAAAATTAATTACAGTATTAAAGATTTAAAAATTTACAAAGTCTAAAATTGAATATTATTTACATTCACTTCACTTCACTTAGCTTCTTTGTGCCTCGTGGCACATAAGGCCTTGATTATTTACATTATTAACATTTAAAATATGTTTGATCAAGTGTCCCTTAAAAGCTTTCACAGAGGGTAAACTTTTCAAATCATCACTCAGCTCATTCCAGATTTTTGCTCCGCGATATGCAAATGATCTTTGTCCGTTAGCCAGTCGGCAACGTGGAATGTTTAAGTCATTACTCTGTCTAGTGTTTCTTGCACTAGATAAAAGCTAATGGATATATCTGATCTAGCACTAGATAAAAGCTAATGGATATATCTGATCACAACATCTTACAGACAGAGCAATTATAAGAAATCGTACGAGAGATAAAATTACTTACAGCTGTCCATTACAAAATTATTCTTATTCATAGAGCGATTCCTTGATATTTCTGCACTTCAGTTCTTGCAACATTCTGTAACGTACAGGGGTTCAACCCTGTGGAATACCTTATAGCCTGGGCTGGGTTGTTCAAAGGCCGATTAAGCTAACCCAGGATTAGCACGAAATTTGATGTTAGCTTTTTTAGGTACTAAAATAGAATAGGGGCCTGGGAACAAACTTATCACTCTGTGTTGTTCAACATTACACACGTTTAGTTCTCTCATCATTCAGTGATGAGAATTAGAGATTTAAACATGATTGTTCTTGTGAAATGGATGGACTCCTATCTAAACTCAACATTAAAATTAATTTGATGACTATATCAAGCTAATGCATTGACCCAATAACTTGGATCTGGGTATAATTGGAAATATCTTTTTCTCCTACAGAACTTAAGTGTAACTCAGGATTTTCATTAATTTTTCAAGTACAGTCGAACCTCAATTATCTGTACCTCAATTATCCGGATTTCTAGATCATCTGGACTTTTTCTCTAGTCCCAATTTTGTCATGAATGTTTATTAGTCATGATCAAGATCCATAGCAATATTCTTTTTAACACTATAGCATTGAAAAGTACAGTCAAAAGAGAGTTTGTTTTGCTTTTAAAGAGCAAAAGCAGCACTCACATGTGTCATAACTAATGAAGAACACTCGGATGAGTTCTGATTAGCTCAGAGTTGAGTGGTTCAAGATATACAGTAGACCATATTGTTTTCCAAACGATTTGTAAAAGTGTTGTTTCATGATTAAATGTTCCTTTATTTAAACAGTTTTGTTCTTCATTGATATTCATATTTTCAATTATCTGGACCCTTGATTATCCGGACCATTTTGTCTAGTCCCAACGAGTCCGGATAATCGAGGTTCTACTGTAGAAGGGCATCTGGTATAAAGTAGGCAGGTACCTGAATTAGTTGAGGGCCAAAGGCCCAAGTACCTAGGTGGGGTCTGGGTGAAAATTTTGAAAAAGAGAACTCCCAGGAATGCATTTTCCTTGATTCTGAGAGGGAAATTCTCATTTTGTCATTAGTCCTCATTTACACAATTCTACTAGAATTAAACAGTGCTAGACATAAAGCAATCACTCGCTAAAAGTAATGCGTTACGCATTCCATTTTGGTTTTATTCTCTGGCGCTTTTAGTTTTAGCACAGCCCATAAGTCCTGAATTTATGTTTGCCTATTCAGCAGACAGAAAAATGATTTTTAAGCCTGTGTTGAGAAACATTTAGCTCTTTATAGGCTATTCAAATAAAGCAATTGTGTTATGTGTAAATTTCACGTTCAGGTTCAATTTAATGTGCTGTGATCAAATAATTAATGAACAATAGTGCTTATGTAAGGTACTGTTACTGATATACTGGCATGTAAAACTTCAAATGTATTAAATTACTAAAAACAAACCTTTTGACCTTTTGGACAGAACTGAAAAAATTTATCCAGGATGCCTTGAGATCTGCGTTTGCTCGCCGTGTTGAATTTGACCGTTTTAATGCACAGAATTGTGAGAATGCACGTGCTTACAAACATGCAGCATGTCACTTGCAAGAGTTGTGTAACAGCAAAGGCACTTCACAGGAGAAAGACCCGATGAATGCAAAGTGCAACTGCCAAAAGGCACTTTTCTCGCAAAAGAAAAGGATGCAAGGTAATTGACAAAAAAGGGTTTTCAAAGGTAATATTCAACTCACAAAGAACAGTTAATTTTTATTTGAGGCTGACGTGTATTTTTTTTAACTTTCTACTTGACCTACTTAAAGAAGCCAGGTACTCCTTTCAAAGTAGACAGGTGCCGGTACCCAGGTCCCGGCTTCTAATAACAACCCTGATAACTGATACTAATTTTGGTCAAAGCTGATGATGTCAGAAGTGAAACAAAGGCCAACACTTGTCACAGCCAGTTACAGCAGGCTTTTTTAAACTTCAGAAAATTGATAGCTGATGTTTATGCCACACTAAGTTCCTTATTTTCACATACTACGTTTTAAAATTATAATCAACATGGACTCTTTAACATAGTAAACTAACTGACAAACTGACAGATAATTTATCAGACGTCATGTGACTAATTAATGACTGAGTGAATTTTTCAGCAGCTATCTGACAAGACACTTCTGTTACCAATAGTCTCACTTGTTTTAGAACTAGCAAGGAAACCTGGACAAGTATACTAAGACATTCTTTCATGTAACAGTAATTGAGTTCACATTATACCTTCAGCTCTCTGAAGTAAAGTACAAATGACTGCCTCATCTTCTACTGGATTAAGAGTACAAGTGGAATAGACTATGCGACCTCCAGTGGCTAACATTTCTACAGCACGTGCTAAAATGCGCAACTGGATCCTGAAAAGAAAACGAAATAGCTGAAAATACAAACCTGCTTAGTTCATTAAAAATAATTAAGATGGATTCCGCTCATAGTTCAAGCAATAAGTGCAAAAATTATTTACTAAAAATCTACTCATAGCACGGTAACTTTTGGAATACTATTAAAAACAACTCACTTTAGTTCATTTCTCTAAGTGACTCCGCACTTAAATTCTCAAGCATTCTCGAGAAAGTTAATGTCAAACCTCGTAAGAATGCTTAAGGTTAAGTCTGCATGCGAGCCAAGTGGCCCATCAGGCCGGAGCTTATCCC